TTTCTTGAATATATTCAGTGACTTGGCTCCCACAGCCTCCTGTGGTAGAGAATTCCACTGGTTCACAACTCTCTGAAGGAAAAAAAATTTCCTCATTTTAGTTCAAAATAGTCTATCCACTGTATCCTGAAGTTGTCTCCCCTGGTTCGAGAACCCAACTGGGGAAACCATCCATCCTGCATCTAGTCTATCCAGCCCTGTTAGAATTAGGTTGGATGTTTGTGCTTATAATGTGAATTTCTGCAAATAAAAGTGTTATATAGTGTACAAAGGTTCAATCCATCCCTGCCAGGTTTTCTGGAGTGGAACAGCAGATGCACGGGTGATAGTGTGCAGAATTCACATCTGTGCAGAACAGACTCAAGAGCTTATCCTTCCCAATTACATACGTCAGTTCGTCTCTTTGAGATTCAGTTATCTCCAGTAGGAAATCTCAAGTTAAAAACACTATTTATATCAGACTTGACAATTATATATCGGAGTTAAACGATCCACAGATCACTCCTTATGATGGTTGAAGGGTATATTTATCAATTTAAACTTTCCCACTTCCCACCAAACCATCATCCAGATAATGGCCTGGTGGCTATGATTAGATGAAAGCCAATAGTTAAAACTGCACAGATTGTTGGCATATTTAAACACTAACTGATTCCCTACACGCGTGTGGAGAACCACCTAAACCTTTCTGTCTGTCTCTTCTCCTGCCCTTGTTTCCCAGAGTTGGCCCACATTTATGGGCAAAATGCTATGGTAGTTTGCCATTGCTTTCTGCAGGATGGGAAATTCTCCTGCTTACAATCGAACTGTTTGGCCACATCAGAAATACACCTTCCATGGACAATAAATCCTGCCATACGATTTGAGCCCAGAGCTCCTAGCTCAGAGGTATGGGAGCTATCAATGCACCAGAACACCTCCATTTAAAGTGTTACCAAAGTATAATTATGTTAAATTTACAGCACAGAAACAGGCGATTTTTTCAATGCCATGCTCCATGAATCCGACCTTGTTACATTTCATCCTATCATTTCTCCCTCAAATACTTATTCAGTTTCACCTTAAATTCTTCCCAATACTCACCACTCCATGTGAGCTCAGGTTTCATGGGGAGGTGATGGCCTAGTGGTATTATTGCTGGACTGTTAACTTGAGATTGTTAATGTGGGGACCTGGGTTTGAGTTTTCCAGTTCCGAGGAAGAGTCACTGGACCCGAAACTTTAACTCTGATTCTTTTCTTCACAGGTGCTGCCAGACCTGCTGAGCTTTTCCAGCAACTTCTGTTTTTGGACCTGGGTTTGAATCTTGCCATGTCAGATAGTGGGATTTGACTTCATTTTTTTGTAAATCTGGAATTAAGAGCTGATGGTGGCCATGAATCCATTGTTGGAAAATCCCTATCTGGTTCATTAATCTTCTAGGGAAGGGAACTGCCATCCTTACCTGGTCTGGCCTACATGTAACTCCAAACCCAAAGCAATGTGGTTGATTCTTAACTGCCCTCTGGACAAAAAAATGCTGGCCCAGCCAGCAACACCCTCATCCTGTGAATTCTCACCTCTAACTGGGTGAAGACCTTATCTCCTGAATTCCCTGTTGGATTTATCAGTTATTGTCTCACATTTATGGTCCTAAGATTTTTTTAAAATCCATTAACCAATTTTGTTAATCAACCTGTTCAGAGAGGTACACTTCTGGAATAGTTGGGACTTAAACTCAGGAAGCTTGGTCCAGGAGTAGGAACACTAACACTGCGCCACAACAGCCCCAAAACAAATCTGCTTTTTCTTTTTCATTCTTAGGGACACTACCACTGTGCCACAAGAGGGCCTCTCATTGCACTATTTTCCATTTTTTCCTTTTTTTTCTTGTCTTTTTACAGTACCACTGTGCCACAAGAGGGCTTCTTGTTGCACTTTTTTCTTTCTCTTCCTTTTTTCTTGTCTTTTGAGAGTATCGCTGTGCCACAGTGGCCCCTGATTTTACGTCTCTCCCACAATCGGAAAGATTTTCTCAATGTCCATCTTATCAAACCCAATCGTTATCTCAAAGGATTTAATCACACCTCCCCGTGATTTTTGCTTTTCTACAGAAAGAAGAATCAACCTGTTCAACACTTCCTTGGGACCATGACTTCTGGCAAATCATTCTTTTGTTTCCTCCAGTGACTTCGTGATTTTTATTAAGTTGGAGACTAGATCTCTGCACCAAGTGTGATCTAACTAAGATTCTGCATAAAGCTAACACAATTTCTGCTTATCATAGGGTCGTACAGCACAGAAATAGACCCTTCGGTCTAACACATCCATGCTGCCCAGATATCCTAAATTAATCTAGTCCCATTTGCCTGCATTTGGCCCATATCCCTCTAAACCCTTCCTATTCATGTACCCATCCGGATGCCTTTTAAATGTTGTAATTGTACCAGCCTCCACCACTTCCTCTGGCAGCTCATTCCATACACACACCACCCACTGCATGAAAAAGTTTCCCCTTAGTTCCCTTTTAAATCTTTCCCCTTTCACCTTTAGCCTAAGTCCTTTAGTTTTGGACTCCCCGTACCCTGGGGAAAAAGACCTTTCCTATTCACCGTATCTATGCCCTTCATGATTTTATAAACGTCTATAAGGTCACCCCTCATCCTCCAATGCTCCAGGGAAAATAGCCCCAGACTATTCAGCCTCTCCCTGTAGCTCAAACCCTCCAGTCCTGGCAACATCCTTGTAAATCTTTACTGAACCCTTTCAAGTTTAACAACATCTTTCCTATAACAAGGTGACCAGAACTGAACACAGTATTTCAATTCTACTGTCCAAATTAACCCCAGCATTTTTATGTTGCAATTTTTAAAGAATTGTTTCCTAAAGAGACCGCCCACACAGTGCTAGTCAGAGAATCATGCTGCTTTGCTTTGAAGATTTTTTACTGTATCAAGGTTCTTGAGTAGCACACAAACCCACATCAACCCTACGCCAACTGCTAACCCGAATCAAAGACCCGTTACCCACTATGAACAGAACCAATGTTATATACAAATTCCTTGCAAAGACTGTGACAAACATTACATTGGACAGACAGGAAGGAAGTTAGCCACAAGAGTACACGAACATCAACTGGCAACAAAAAGACACGACCAATACTCACTTATCTCCATTCACATGGATAAGGAAAACCACCAATTTGATTGGGACAACACTAAGATCCTAGGACAGGCCAAGCAGAGACAAGCATGGGAATCCCTAGAGGCCTGGTTCTCCACGAAGAAAACCATCAACAAACACATAGAGCTAGACCCCATATACACTCTGCTGCGAAGGAAAACCGGAAGTGAGGTAATCTCAATGGACCCCAGAGTTTAAATGACAAGCAGGAAAACACAGCAGCGCTTCAGCGGAGGCTGCGCTGATGATGTTACCCAGCAGGGTAATGAAACATCTGCGAAACAACAAACCAGCTTGCCGAGCCAACCAACCACAACATCCACAACCCGAGCTACAAATCTACTCTAAAACCTTAAAGGTTCTTGAGGTGTGTGAGAGTAACAATAATATAGGCACCTGGATGACCCTTGAGTGAGTTGTCTAGAGACCACCCATATCTACAGGTATATGGCGTCTCGGGAGGTGTTCACCGTTGTGAAGGGATCTGATTGAGTTATTTACTCTGGCAAGTGAGTCAGTAACTAGATGTCATAGACTTAAAATAATTGGCAAAAAGCTAAAGGAGAAGGAAAGAAATAGAAGCAATTTCTGCGCACAGATGGTTATGATGTTATGGAGTATTCTGACTGAAAGGGGAATGAGATTCCTAAAGAATTATCAGAGGCAACTAGGCTTGGTGTTGACAAGGACTGATTTGCTGGTTTATCAATACCTTGGCTAGCTCTTTCATGAAAGATGGCATGGTGGCTCAGTGGTTAGCACTGCTACCTCCCAGTATCAGGGGCCTGGGCTCGATCCAACCCTTGGGCAACTGTCTGTATGCATTTTATACATTCTCCCCATGTTTTTGTGAGTCTGCTCTAGTTTCCTCCCATGGTCAAAAGATGTGCAGGTTAGGTAGGTTAGCCATCGTGTGCAGGCTAGATGGGTTAGCTGTGGGGATGGGGTTGGGGAGCAGGGTCTGGATGGAATGCTCCCCAGAGGGTTGGTGTGGACTTAATGGGCCAATTGGCCTTTATCTGCACTGTAGGAATTCTATGATTGTTGTTGGAATTATGTACATACATGCCTTCACCTCACATCAATTAACATACAAGGGGCACTTTTAGCAATACACACAACTTCACCATAGCCTCTTCTCTCTCGCATATCTTCTGTCTTTCGGTCTTTCCTTGCCCTCGTTCATCATCTTCTACTCCTTTTAGACCCCACTGTCCCATCAAGTTGTCAACCCTACCTAAAGGAATTACGCAACTGCACGTTAGGGTCACCAACTCTATCTGAACATATACTGTCACTGATGGCTTACGTTCCCACCATTAGTCCCCAACACTTCCCAGTGTTTATAGTGTCCCTTCATCCCTTCCTGGCTGCCCCCAGAAAGGAAATAGACTGTATTATCTGATGGGGTGACCATCCCTATCCCCACGTCCACCATTTTAATAACCTGCAAACAAAACTAGCTAGAGACAACTTTAAAATAAAATTTGTATGTCCCTTCGACTTTCCTCCTGAGTGGCTCAGAGCAGGGTACAGGAGATTCACCGTTTAAATCCTGGAGACTACAGGGTAACCCTAGAGAGTTAGCAAACCAAAGCTGTGCTGAAGTTCTTTCTTATATAAAGTTTAAAGGTGGGAATCCATCTGACAAACCTTACAATATGAGTTAGCCATCTAACACAGAGTTGACTGGAAAATACTGTTCTGCTTCTATTAAAACTAATTTTTTTTTTGCTCTCTAAGAAGGGAAAATACTCTTTTAAAAAAATGCACGGAATCAGATTATTCCTCTTCCACGTTTTTATCCTTCTCTAGAAATCCCTTTCTCCTTATCACAATTAGGTAGTTTTTTTTGTCTCTTTGTTACTCAATTCTTCGGGTTCCTTCAGTTCTCCTGGCTCATTGTCATCCTGGTCGGAGCCATCATTCTTGATGTCTGTGGTCTGTGACAAGACAGTAGCATAGGCAGTAGTTAGTGATATTCACACTACAGAAATGTCAAGGAAAAAGACCATTCCAACAAGAGAGAATCTAGCCGTCACCCCTTGATGTTCAATGGCATTACCATCACTGAATCCCCCACTATCAGCATCCTGGAAGCTACTACTACTAATCGTTAAGGAGAATAAGACCACAAGACAAAGGAGCAGAAATTAGGCCATTCGGCCCATCGAGTCTGCTCCGCCATTCAATCATGGCTGATAAGTTCCTCAACCCCATTCTCCCATTTTCTCCCCATAACCCTTGATCCCCTTGATATTCAAGAACCTATCTATCTCAGTCTTAAACGTACTCAATGACCTGGCCTCCACAGCCTTCTGTGGCAGTGAATTCCATAGATTCACCACTCTCTGGGTGAAGAAGTTTCTACTTATCTCCATTCTAATAGGTCTTCCCCTTACTTTAAGGCTGTGCCCTCGGGCCCTAGTCTCTCCTACCGATGGAAGCATCTTCCCAACATCCATTTTGTCCAGGCCATTCAGCATTCTGTAAGTTTCAATTAGATCCCCCCCTCATTCTTCTAAACTCCAATGAGTATAGTCCCAGAGTCCTCAAACGTTCCTCATATGTTAAGCTTTCCAGTCCTGGGACCATTCTCGTGAACCTCCTCTGAACCCGCTCCAGGGCCAGTACATCCTTCCTGAGATATGGGGCCCAAAATCCTTTTCATCTAGAAAGTGGTGTGGGTCTTCTGTTTGAAGTGCCACAATCAAATATTTAAAAGTTAGAACCGTTTGGGTCATTCACTGTTGACTCCCTCTTGTTATGTATATTTTCTGGGGTTTCTATAATTCCCAAGCTAGAATCAGTCCACAACCTAAGACTTTTATTTTAAGTTCTGTGGTATCACTGCGCAGAAACCCGAGTGAAAAGAGTACCCTAAAGGAGGAGCAAAGATGGGTTGACATTTCTGAACAGTTCTGAGGGAGTGTTGCACTGTCTGAGGTAACAGCATTTGTTAAACTGAGGACACCAATTTGGCATCAACTTGGAGAAGGACTGGGCTGTTCATCCTGGAAACCTGGCCATAAATTATTCCTCGGTCAACACCATGAGCACTATCTGATTATTAATACGTTTGTTAATTGTTAAACCTTGAATCCCTCCATTTTACAATAATGCGAGAATACTCCATTGGCCGTAAAACACACTGGGAAGGGCCTACAGTCACGAAAAGTGCTAAATAAATGCACAATCCTTCGCTAACCAAGCCCCACAAACCCTTTGAAAATGAACCAAAAGGAAACTTTACTTCGTAATCGATAGTTGGTATTGAGTTATATCCTGCGTAGGGAAGCAGAGGTGTAATCTCCATCTTGTAGATCTTCTCGTTGTCAAGCGATGGCCGGAGCTTGACCATTTCCAAATCGTTTTGATCTGCGTGCTGGGCATCGATGGCTGCCAATTCTAGTTTGGAGAGATCGTGGACTATCCCAGCTCCGAATGAGTCACCAACCACGTTCACCGATGTCCTCATACGATCGCTGCAAATACAAAAAAACAACTTACGTTGAGCTGTCTGAAAGGCAACTCTGTTGTTAATTAGAAACGGAAACAAAAATTGCTGGAGAAGCTCAGCAGGTCTGGCAGCATCCGAGGAGAGAAATCAGAGTTAATGTTTTGGGTCCAGTAACCTTTCCTCAGAACTGATGGTAACTAGGAAAATGTCAGTTTATATGCGCAAGATAGGATGGGGCTAGGGCCCATAGAGAGAGGAGAACAGTTGGACAGACAAAAGAGTGGATAATGATCAGGAGGGTGAATAGCTATTAATAGGGACTGTTGGTTGCTAACAATGGGTTGTGTATAATAGCAGACTATGTGTTAACAAGGCCTAGTGGGGGCTAGGACAGGGGAGACTTCAAACCCTAAAGTTGTTGAACTTGATATTGAGTCCAGAACGCTGCAGGGTCCCCAAGCGGAAAATTAGGTGTTTTTCTTCCAGCTTGCGTTGAGCTTCGCTGGAACACTGCAGCAAGCCAGACACAGAGATGTTGGCCAGGGAACAGGGTGGTGTGTTAAAGTGGCAGGCAACTGGAAGACCAGGGTCTTTTTGCGAGTAGAACATAGATGTACTGTGAAGCGGTCACCCAGTCTACACTTTATTTCCCCAGTGCAAAGTGGTTAATTCTTAACTGCCCTCTGGTTAATTAGAGATGGGCAATAAATGCTGGCCTGACCAGTGACACTCTCATCCCAAGAATCAATCAAAACAACCCTTATACACACATACCAAAGCTCACATGCCACTAGTTCAAAATTTAAATCCTAAAGCAAATTATATGAATAGATAGAAATCATACATTTTATATCACACCTTGCTCTCTCAGCAATTCTGGAAAATTATTTGTATTTTCGTCTCTGAAGACAGAACTAAAGCAGTCATTTACTTGCCTTGCCATTTCCTTGTTCTCCTTTATCAGTTCTCCCATTTCAGACTATAAAGGGCCTACTTTTATTGACACTAATCCTTTTCTTTTTGCATACTTAAAGAAGCCGTTATTGTGTGTTTTTATGTTCTTTGAATTTTATATTCCTGCAATATTTTTCTCTTCTTAATCAACCTTTTGGTCCTCCTTTGCTAAATTCTAAACTGCTCCCAGTCCTTAGGCTTGCTATTTTTCTAGAAACTTTATGTAACTCTTTGGATTTAAACAGCCCTTAATTTCTTTTATTAGACATGGTTGGGGGACTTTTTCTGTTGGCTTGTTTAGCTCAAAAGGAATGCAAACTGTTGCGATGCATGCATTCTTTCCTTAAATATTAACCATTGCCTGTCCACTCTCATGCCTTTTAAAAATGCTACCCAGTCTATCACACCAACTCACCCCTTCAGCCCTTGTACACTCCTTTATTTAGATTTTGGACCTCAGTTTTGGATTGAACCACTTCACTGCCTATCCCACTGAGGAGTTCTATCATATTATGGTCACTATTTCCTAAAGGACTTCTCACAACAAGATTATTAAGTAGCACTTTCTCATTGCACACAACTTAACCTAGGATAAACTGTTCCCTAGTTGGTTCCTGCTAGTCTAATGAAAAATTCTTGTAGACACTCCAGGAATGTTTTGGACACAGCTTTCTTTACAAACTTTCTTGCTCAGCCAACTTCTCAATTCTGTTCTCAATGTAATTAACGGTGGGTGTAACATCTGTCCGTTTACTTCCTCCCTCCTCAGTATCCAAGGCCCCAGACACTCCTTCCAGGTGAAGCAGTGACTTACCTGCACTTCCCAGAATCTAGTCTACTGCATTCGCCGCTCACAATGTAGCATTTGGATTTTGAACTAGTGGCATGTGAGCTTTGGTATGTGCATATAAGGGTTTTTTTGATTGATTCTTGGGATGAGAGTGTCACTGGTCAGGCCAGAATTTATTGCCCATCCCTAATTACCCAGAGGGCAGTTAAGAATTAACCACTTTACAGTGGGTCTGGAGTCACATGTAGGCCAGACCAAGTAAGGATGGAAGTTTCTTTCCCTAAAGAACATTAGTGAACCAGATGGGTTTTTCCTGACAATCAACTCATGGTCATCATTAGACTCTTAATTCCAGTGTTCAAATTCAATCCTGGGGATTCAAACCTGAGTCCCCAGAACATTACTTGAGTCTCTGGATTAACAGTCCCGTGATAATACCACTAGGCCATCACCTCTCCTTGTTTAATGATTAACTTGTCAGTTTTTCTGGAGCCATGATCTAAACCAGTGTGTTTTTGGGGACAGTTGACTGGGGTCTCTTCTGGAGTGATAATGGGAATGTGGTTGTGTTGTGAGAGATTGATGATAGGAGAGAGCAAACATTGAAAGGAACAAAAACAAAGTTGCTGGAAAAGTTCAGCAGGTCTGGCAGTATCTGTGAAGGAAAAAACAGAGTTAATGTTTCGGGTCCGGTGACCCTTCCTCAGAACTAACATTGAAAGGCTTGCTGTTGGTTTCGAAGAATCGAGAATTGATTATTACTTTCAAGAAACAATAGCTTTTTGACAGCTTGCGAAGAACTGGCTGGGGTTAGATGTAAGAACAGCTTCTCCTGGAAAAAGGAGCTAGTTCAGAATCATTAGGAAACAGGTTGCTTCGGTGTAAGGAAAATCCGAAAGAACAGCGCATGCTGTAAATCAGAAATAAAAACATAAATCGCTGGAAAAGCTCAGCAGGTCTGGAATCCTCTGCGGAGACAAATCAAAGTTAATGTTTTGGGCCGAGTGGCCCTTCCTGCGAACACAGACGCCTTCCTGAAACATTAACTCTGATTTCTGTCCGCAGGATACTAAAGGAGGTAGCCACTGGAAATAGTGGAAGCATTTGTTGTTACCATTGCAAGACTCTGTAGATTCTAGCATATTGGAGGGTAGTTAATGTAACTCCATTGGTTAAAAAAGGAGGGAGAGAACAGGGAATTACAGATTTGTTCGCTGAACATTAATAGTAGGGAAAATACTAGACTCTATTATAAAGGATAACAGGACACTTAGAAAATGCCCATTGGTTTATGAAAGGGAAATCATGTTTGACAAACCGATTGTACTTTTTGACCAAGTGAATGGGTGAGGGAGAACCAGCGAATGTGGTGCATTTGAATTCTCAGAATGGAATGAAGTCTGTATTTATTTCCCATCCCTAATTGCCCAGAAGCAAGTTAAGAGCCAATTACATCTGGAGTCACATGGCTAAGATAATAGCTTCCATCCTTAAAGGGCATTATTGAGCTGGATGAGTTTTCGTGACAATTGACTCATGGTCATCACTACACTTTTAATTCCAGATTTTTCTTTTTAAATTGAATTCATATTCCACCATCTGCCATGGTGTGGGATTTGAACCCAGATCCCCCAGAACATTACGTGGGTCTCCAGATTAATAGCTGAGTGATAAGGCCACTAATCGCCTCCTGATGCTTGGTGGGTCACACATGAGAGGTCATTGTGCAAAATCGAAGCATGTAGGATTGGTGGTAAAATACTGGCATGGATTGAGAGATGGCTAGCTGACAAGAAACAGAAATTAAGAATAAATGGGTCATTTTTCAGATCGAAGGTAGTGCTCAGCAGGACTTGATGCTTGGTCCCCAAATATTCAAAACCTATGTCAATAATTTCAAGGAAGGAATCAAGTATAATATTTCTAAATTTACGGATGACACAGGATGAGGTAGGAGTGTGAGTGGTGAGGAAGATGTAAAGAGGCTTCACATGATTGAGTCAGTGGGTAAAGGCATGGCAGATACAGTATAATGTGGATAAATAAGAAGTTGTGCACTTTAGCAGGGAAAACAGAATGGCAGAGTATTATTTAAACGCTGACAGATTACAAAATGTTCATACAGTCATACAGCACAGAAACAGATACTTCCGTCCAAACAGTCCATGCCAAACATAATCTCAAACTAAACTAGTCCCATTTGCCTGCTCCCAGCCTATATTCCTATTTGTACTTATCCAAATGTCTTTTAAATGTGTAACTGTACCCACATCCACCACTTCCTGAAGAAGTTCATTCCACACACGAACCACTCTCTGTGTAAAAAATTTGCCCTTCATGCCTTTTTTAAATCTCTCCCTTCTCACCTTAAAAATGTGCCCCCTAGTCTTGAAATTCCCCACCCTAGGGAAAAGACAACTACCATTAACCCTATCTACACCTGTCATTATTTTATAAACTTCTATAAGATCACATTTCAACCTCCCACGCTCCAGTGAAAAACATCCCAGCCTATCCACCCTTCCATACCCAACAACATCCTGGTAAATCTCTTCTGAACCCTCTCCAGCTTAATAATATCCTTCCTATAACTGGGTGACCGGAACTGGACACAGTACTCTAGAAGAGGCCTCACCAATGTCCTGTACAACCTCAACATGATGTCCCAACTCCTATACTCAAAGGACTGAGCAATGAAGGCAAGCGTGCTAAACGCCTCTTTAACCATCCTGAATGTATGTGACGTAGAAAGGATTGGGTGTCCTCACAAACCAGGCACAGAGAACAAGCATGTAGATGCAGCAGTCAGTTAGGAAAGCAAGTTGTAAATGACAAGTTTCTTTTCCCTAGGGTGGGGGAGTTCAAAACTTGAGGAAATATTTAAGGTGAGAGGAGAAGCTAATGCTCCCAAGAATAATCCAGACTCGAAACGTTATCTTCCTCTCTCTCCACAGATGCTGCTTGACCCGCTGTGATTTCCAGTATTTTGTTTTTGGTGGGACTAGTTTATTTTGGGAACATGGCTGGCATGGACTGGTTGGACCGAAGGGTCTGTTTCCATGCTGTATGACTCTATAACTCTATAAGGGAATTTGAACACAGAAGTAGCAGATTAAAGATGGCAACTGTACAGGGCCTTGGTGAGACTGCACTTGAAGAATAGTGCACAGTTTTGCTCTCCCTACTGTAGAAGTAGTGCAACAGAGGTTCACCAGACTGATGTCTGAGACGATAGCATAAGCACAAATTGTATCAGCTGAGCCTACATTCACTGTAGCTTTGAAGAAATGATGAAGGATCTGATTGAAATTGTTATAAAGCGGAGGTTGAGCCTCCCCTCTGATAACTAAAACCGAAACACTGAAGGAGGAGCACCCCGCCCTATAATCTGTAAAAGGAGTGTGAAAAGGGGTCTAACCTGCCTTTCAGCAACTTCTAGTGGTTAAATAAAATAAATCCTGACACTACTTTAAAATCAACAGGTAACAATTTATTAATCGAACTCTAACAGTGAACAAATTGACTAAACTATTAACAAACCAAATAAACTTCTTCTAACTATGAGCTATTCCTGAGAGCCAACAATTTTCTCTTGAGAGCTGAGGGCCGTTAGCTCTTGTGGATGGCAGCTAGCTCTGGGCCTTTGTCCAACTACCCACTTCTTTTTATACCCTTGATAATGCATCAATCTTTCTTACAATAGGATTGGTCCTATGTTGTCAAAACCTTCAGACTTAAATTTAATAGGTTTTTGGTACCTAAGTACATGGTTCAAATTAGTTAGCTAAAATTCAAAAGCTAAAAGCAGCTTCTTGGTGTGCTAACTATGTGTCTTTTCAATACAAATGATTCAATTCAGATGCTGTCTATGTACTTGTAAACTTTTAAGCTTTAAATCTCTAAGCATAGAAAAAGCACATAATCTTTTAAAGGGACCATGCAATGCTTTCCCCGCTATCATTTTACAAACACCAAATTCGAACTGCCTGCTTCCCAATCCACAAATACTCTACCCAACTTCGCAACAAAATGTATAAAATTCTAACAGGACTGGATAGAGTAGATGCAGGGAGGTTGTTCCCCCTGGTTGAAGAGTCTAGGACCAGGGGTCACAGTTTCAAGACAGGGGGAAGGTCATTTAGGACTGAGATCAGGAAAGATTTCTTCACTCAGAGGTTGAGCAACTTGTGGAATTCTGCACCACAGAAGACTGTGGAAGCCAAGTCACAGAATATATTTCAGAAAGAAATAGATAGCTTTCTAGAGGCTAAAGATGTTGAGGTGTATAGGGAGAGGGCAAGCATGTGCCGTTCAGATAGAGGATCAGACATGGTTGTGCTGAATGATAGAGCGGGCTTGATGGGCCAAATGGCCTATTCCTGCCTGTGGATTCCAGGTGTCTGATAGGTTGTGTCCCTTGTCTCTAATAAAAGAGAATACTGAGGAGTGACCAATTAGAGTGTTTGGTAGACGTGTTTAAAACATATTTAAAAGAGAGTGGGACAAACATCCCATTTGAGGAAGTATTAGCAACCAAGGGAACACCAATTTAAGGTGACAGGCAAACAGACTAGCGATGACACCAAGAAAACCTCATTTCCTTTTTCTCTATTCATTTGTGGGACGTGGGTGTTGCTGGCTGGGCCAGCATTTATTGCCTGTCCCTAGTACCCCCTTGAGAAGGTGGTGGTGAGCTGCCTTCTTGAAATGCTGCAGTCCACCTGCTGTGGGTTGACCCACAATGCCATTAGGGAGGGAACTCCATGATTTTTACTCAGCCACAGTGAAGGAGCAGCGATATATTTCCAAGTCAGGATGGTAGGTGGTTTGGTGGGGAACTTGGAGGGGGTGGTGTTCCCATGTATCTGTTGCCCTTGTCCTTCTAGATGGAAGTGGTTGTGGGTTTGGAAGGTGCTGTCTGAGGATCTTTGGTGAATTTCTGCAGTGCATCTTGTAGATAGTACACACTGCTGCTACTGAGCGTCGGTGGTGGAGGGAGTGGATGCTTGTGGATGTGATGCCAATCAAGCAGCTGCTTTGTCCTGAATGTTGTCGAGCTTCTTGAGTGTTGTTGGGGCTGCACCCAACCAGGCAAGTGGGGAGTATTCCATCACACTCCTGACTTGTGCCTTGTAGATGGTGGGCAGGCTTTGAGGAGTCAGGAGGTGAGTTACTCACCACAGTATTCCCAACTTCTGGCCTGATCTTGTAGCCACTGTGTTTATGTGGTGAGTCCGGTTGAGTTTCTGGTCATTGGTAACCCCCAGGATGTTGATAGTGGGGGATTCAGTGATGGTAACACCATTGAATGTCAAGGGGCAGTGGTTAGATTGTCTCTTGTTGGTGATGGTCATAGCCTGGCATTTGTGTGGCACGAATGTCACTTGCCACTTGTCAGCCCAAGCCTGGATATTGTCCAGATCTTGTTGCATTTGAACATGGACTGCTTCAGTATCTGAGGAGTCACAAATGGTGCAGATATTGTGCAATCATTGGCGAACATCCCCACTTCTGACCTCACGATAGAGGGAAGGTCATTGATGAAGCAGCTGAAGATAGTTATTGCTGGGCAGGTGTTGCTTGATAGCGCTGTTGATGACACCTTCCATCACTTTACAGATGATTGAGAGAGTCTGATGGGGTAATAATTGGTTGGGTTGGATTTGTCCTGCTTTTTATGTACAGGACATACCTGGGCAATTTTCCACATTGTCGAGTAGATACCAGTGTTGTAGCTGTACTGGAACAGCTTGGCTCGGGGAGCAGCTAGTTCTGGAACACAAGTCTTCAGTACTATTGCTGGAATGTTGTCAGGGCCCATAGCCTTTGCAGTATCCAGTGTCTCCAACCGTTTCTTGATATCATGTGGAGTGAATCGAATTGGCTGAAGACTGGTATCTGTGATGCTGGGGACCACTGGAGGAGGCTGAGTTGGATCATCCACTTGGCACTTCTGGCTGAAGATTGCCGTCATTGCTTCAGCCTTATCTTTTGCACTGATGTGCTGGGCTCTTTCATCATTGAGGATGGGGATATTTGTGGAGCCTCCTCCTCCAGTGAGTTGTTTAATTGTCCACCACCATTCACGACAGGATGTGGCAGGACTGCAGAGCTTAGATCTGATCTGTTGGTTGTGGGATCACTTAGCTCTGTCTATCACTTATTGCTTTTGCTGTTTGGTATGCAAGTAGTCCTGTTTGGTAACTTCACCAGGTTGATACCTCATGTTCAGGTATGCCTGGTGCTGCTCCTGGCATACTGTCCTACACTCTCCATTGAACTCTCTCCATTTATGCAGCAAATAATTACAATTTGGAATGCACTTCCTCAGAGTGCGATAGAAGCCAATTCAGTGGACATTTCAAAAGGAATTGAATCATTATCTGAAAATTAAAACAGATGGTTATGTGGTAAGAATTTCTCTGCAGAGAGTAGCATGACATAGAATCCGTACAGTGTGGAAGGAGCCCATTCAGCCCACACTAACCCTCTGAAGAGCTTCTCACCCAGACCCAGCCCCATTCCCCTAACCCCGCATTCCCCATGGCTAACCCAACCAGCCTGCACATCCCTGAACACTACGGGCAATTTAGCATGGCCAATCCACCTAGCCTGCTCATCTTTGGACTGTGGGAGGAAACTCACACAGATACAGGAAGAATGTGCAAACTCCACACAGGCAGTCACCTGAAGCTGCAATCGAACCTGGGTCGCTGAGGCTGTGAGGCAGCAGTGCTAACCACTGAGACACCATGCCACCTAGCACAGAATGATGAACTGAATGGCCTCCTTCTGTGCTGTAACCATTCTCTGATGCTATTACGTAAGGACTTGATAGGGCAGATGGAGTGAGGATTTCTCTATTTGCTGATGAGACGGTGACTGGGAGGCATAAATACAGTCCTGCTCAAATTATACCACTTCCCCAGAACTCTGTAGAAAGAGCAATTCCTCTTCACTTTTACTCAAACTCAGTTCTTCCTGAACGACACCTTTAGAGCCATTGCTCAACCCTTTCAGAGGGCGGTTAAGAGCCATTCACAATGCAGGGGGCCTGAGGTCACATGTAGTCTGGACCAGGTAAGGTAGGCAGATTCCCTTCCCTGTGGAACATTAGCAAACCTGATGGATTTTTATGACGATCAAGCACATATTCCACAATGACTGAAATTGGTGTTCAATGAATTAAATTTACATTCCGCCCACTTCTACAGCTGGGGTATGATCCCACATGTGGCCCCCTCCTCTGCCCCCCCCCCCGCCCCACGCTCCCACCCCCGGCCAGAGCCTCTGGATTAACTAGAGCCAGGAGATCACCCGCGATGCTGCTCACCCGCTGTGCGTTTGCTGCCACCTCCTGTCGTGCCTTTCTCCGGGTCTGCCATTTTTCACGTCTAGCTCGAAACGCCCTCTGCCCGCCCACCCACCCCCCCATCCAAAAGCTGTGGCCTACTCACAGGAGCCAATCGACAGCAATGAGCAAGCTGACGTCCTCAGTTGGAAGACCCACGGCTGTGAGGATCAGCAGCATTGTGACGAGACCAGCACTGGGAATACTGGCCGCTCCAACACTTGCCAGAGTGGCGGTCAGGCTGGCGAGGGAGAGAAAAGCGGGAAATTACCTTCCCAAAGCAAGCACAAAAGGAATCGGTGAAACGCAGCACCACACGAGCAGGGGTTAAAACATAAAACATAGAACAGTACGGCACAGTACAGGCCCTTCAGCCCACAATGTTATGCCGACCTATTATCCTACTAAGATCAATCTACCCTGCATACCCTACATTTTCCTATCCTCCATATGCCTATCCAAGAATCGCTTAAATGTCCCGAATGTATCTGACTCCACTACCACTGCTGGCAGCGCATTCCACGCACCCACCACTCTCTGTATAAAGAAATCTGCAACATAGAACCTAGAACATTACAGCGCAGGACAGGCCCTTCGGCCCTCGATGTTGCACCGACCTGTGAAACCAATCTGAAGCCCATCTAACCTAAACTATTCCATTATCATCCATATGTTTATCCAATGACCATTTAAATGCCCTTAAAGTTGGCGAGTCTACTACTTTCGCAGGCAGGGCATTCCACGCCCTTACTACTCTCTGAGTAAAGAACCTACCTCTGACATCTGTCTTATATCTATCACCCCTCAATTTAAAGCTATGTTCCCTCATGCTAGCCATCACCATCCGAGGAAAAAGGCTCTCACTGTCCACCCTATCTAATCCTCTGATCATCTTGTATGTCTCTATTAAGTCACCCCTTAATCTTCTTCTCTCTAACGAAAACAGCCTCAAGTCCCTCAGCCTTTTCTCATAAGACCTTCCCTCCATACCAGGCAACATCCTGGTAAATCTCCTCTGCACCCTTTCCAATGCTTCCACATCCTTCCTATAATGCGGCGACCAGAACTGTACGCAATACTCCAAGTGCGGCTGCACCAGAGTTTTGTACAGCTGCAACATGACCTCATGGCTCCGAAACTCAATCCCTCTACCAATAAAACCTAACACACCACAGGTGCTTGAGAAGCTGAGCGAGTCTGGTGGCACGGTGGCTCAGTGGTTAGCACTGCTGACCCCCAGCGCCAGGGACTCAGGTTCGATTCTGTCCTCGGGCGACTGTCTGTGGGGAGTTTGCACATTCTCCCTGTGTCGGTGTGTCTTTCCTCCGTCAGCCAAGGCTCCCTAATTGGACCAGGGTCACAGCCCCAATCAGGGGACTCAGATTTATGAGGTCCACCTGACTGACCTGATTACAATCACTGCAGCGAGCAGGGCTCTGGAGATAGAGTCAGACAATGAGATTGGGATCATTGAACATGTGCATCTGTGCATCCAACCTGGTGCAATGTATCCGTTGCTCCCGATGAGGCCTCCTCTAGGTCAGAGAGACCAAGCGCAAACTCAGTGACCGATTCGCAGATCACCTGTGCTCTGTACATTACAATCAACACCACCTTCTGGTTGCCAACCATTTTAACTCCCCCCTCCCACTCCATGGGTGGGCCTCCTCCAATGTCACAATGATGCCACATGCAAACTGGAAGAACACCATGATGCCACATGCAAACTGGAAGAACACCA